TTTTTTTTTTTTTTTTTTTTTGTGATGGAGCATAGTCCTGAACAGCTGACAAATCTCTCCCCAGAATAGCCGTCTGTCAGTATGAGGGCAAAGATAGATTTGGCTTTAATGGTGTGAGGAGACTCGTGTCCTGCATCAATGGACCCAACAAAAACAACCACACTGTGTACAAAACGTTTAGTTAGTTTGATGGTTTTCTCTTGTGCATAAATGAGTGAGGCAAAATTACTTGAAAGTATCTCAGTCAAAGGCAGTTTCATGTACCTTCATGTACCTAGTGTGAGGATGTGAGTGGTCTGCATACTGTTATTTAAACTGTCTGCAAATTAACGTCTTGTTTTACACACAATCTAACGGCTACCTTTTTTAAACAAGTTTCTTACACCAAGAATTACAGTGTCTTCTACCAAAATGAACAGCCCAAGACAGAAGTAAAGCATTCTACACAGTATATGACTGATGCTGTTTAATTATGTGCTCTTTACAATATTGACCCATATCTGTCAGAGTCAGTGTCCCAGTCCTCAGATTAGAGAAATCAAAGTCCGTGGATCACCGCAGGGAGTTTCCACCACTCCCACAGTTGAAAGGTCACCAGAGATTAAACAATATTAAGCTCTGATTTCACTGGGTCATCACTTGTGAACTCACACTTGAAAGCACTCACACATGGACCTGTCCTTAAACATGGTTGGACGACATGGTGGATTACTACTGTATATGAACAAGCTCTCTACAGAGGGGGCTTAAAGGGCATCAGACTGAAAACCACAGAACACTTCAGACATGTACAGAGCTGGTTCATAACGGTCAACCTTCTTCTCTGTGATATGTTAGACTAAAGTGTTCAATTAGAATTGCACCATTTAAACAGTGTTTATTTTGTGGGCTTCCATCATCTAGCCATCCAGACAGAACAAAGCCAGCACTGCCCAGCATCGTGCCTTTGATAGACAGCTCCATGTGCCACTGAAACTCTATAGACATAATAATCTCTGTGGAGTTCTGCTGAAGCACAAAAAACAACTTATCGTCACTGAGAGGGGAACGGTCACAGAAGCAAAACAGCCTTGGCTTTTCAGGTCTCCAGCACTACAAAGCTTTCATCACAACAGTTTTCTTGAAAGAGTCCATTTGGCAACTTTATGGTTTTCAGTTTTATGGCTTTTTGATGCTAATTTGTAAATAAATCAAATATCTTGAAGACTGACCTCAAGCAGATCAAAGTGAAGGCCACAAATCTTGTCCTGTGTCAGTGAAGACAGCCAACAGATCAAGCTGGCATCTTGAAATATAGGCCTCCACATGTGTAGCATCCTACTGATGGTGCACATAGGCTAAAAATAATGTCAGAGGAACCAAGGCAATGTGAGGGTGTATTGAGTGAAATTAGAACTTGACAAAACAGCTGAACACTGCACTTAAGCCTCTGGATCTGTGTTTGGAAACAGTCCCCCCGTGTCACATTTCCTCTGGTTCAGACTGTCTCTGACAGCAGTCATAATAAAGGACTGTAGGAATCTTCAACCATATATTCAGCCACAATCACGTATCTTCAGTGGTCATCTGATTATGAGCCCAGACCCACAAAGCCATTACTAATACTATAATGTTATTTCTGACAGCAACATGCAAAACGTAATATTCATAATCAAGTGACATACCAGGCAGCTATTGCCATACACTATAACATGAGATGCCCTTAAGTGATTAAAATTATGCAACCTGGCATGTCTAATGACAGCATGCCCTTGAGTTTAAGGAGTACAGCCAGAAGTCTATCCATGAGAGGAAGGCCACTGAATTTGTTTCAGATCACATTAATATAACATTTAATTGGCTGTATATGAGCTTTTGTGGCGGATTACAGTATCCAGGAAATAAACTCTACACATAACTACATGCAGGAGGGAGGTATGATAACATAAAGCTTCACATAAACTGTAACACAGAAATACTACACAGTACTGAGATTTGCTTTATGAGGATAGATATTAGTATTTATGTTCTTATCTTCAGAAAAAATGATGTGTGATCTGCTTTGAACTAGTAATGATGGTCACAAGGCTACAGTTAGCACCCTCCCTGATATACAATGTCATAGTTGAAGTGCAGTAGCTATCATCTTTCTCATTTAACCAAATGTATGTAACAGATCCAATAAGCTTCCATCATGAAATTTTGTCATATGTTCTAATATCAGACACTAGTGTAAGTATTTCACTGCCTCAAATGCATAAGTGGAAACACTAATTCACTTTATTATCAGTTGTTAAAACACACAGCAAAAACAAAATGACTGCTTTTAATTTGTTTGTTTTGCCGGGAGTAAATGGGACAGTGTGAACCTCACCAGTCAAGCTTTAACACTACATTCAGCTGTACTAAAAACAGGACAAATTTATTTTTTTCCTTTCTTCTTAGCATTTTTTCCTTTAACTGGTGCCTCTTCTTCTTGCTTTCCCGTGGCAGCCTTAATCCGCTTCTTTCCCAGAGGGGTCTTATTATACCAGTTCTGGTGACACAAGGAAGAATAAGTATAAACAAGAATCTGTTTGCATTAATAAAAGAAACAAAACACAATATCAGTAATGAAAGCTTAATATGGGATATCAATGATACTTTAAGGGCGTCCTCCTCTAGCTGAAAAACAGGGTCGATCCTGGCTAATGGAACAACAAACTCAGTGGCAGTCAGAGGTCTTTTCGCCTGCTGCAGGATGCGATGCTTGGTGACGACACTCTGGATCACCTGAACCATGTGACCTGGAGTGTAACCATCAGAAATCTTTGCAAGAGAGCTGAGGTCCAGGGCCTTGGTTACCTCACCTCCCTGCTTTTTGATCAGTTGCTCCCACAAGACTGATGACAGAGACAAAGGTCATTTTTCATACCAACTTAAAAATACTATATACAATATTTTTGAATTAAAATTTCACAGTGTGTCTTTTCTTACTGTATCTTGAGCCATAGGCAGGTCTTGGGATGAGGATGATTTTACTGTACATTTTACAAAGTGACTTTATATCAGCACTCTGTGGGTCTTTAGTTGTTCCTACTATGAGAATCCGATCATCCGCTTTGATCATCTTAATATACTTGAGCAGATCTTTCTTCAGCCGCTTAGGATCTAACTGTTTGCACACAGAAAACTGTTAAAACTCCACATGTAAATAATTGAAATGTTTTGTCACCCATCCATCTTGTTCTGAGTACCTCTCTTTCCTCCTTGGGAACTTTCTTGTAGAACATTTTCTCCGCATCTTCAATCCTTATTACCGAAGGCTGCAGCAATCTTGCAACCTATTCAAAGATGATTATGATGAAATGAATTTTTATTTTCTGGAGTCAAAATGTAAATACCGGCAAAAAACACTTCCATAAAATTCTTGATGTTCTGCTTAAGATCATCATAACATACTAAATTAACCAGCAGTGCTTGGCAGGACATGACAACATACTACCCTGCATACCATTCTATGACAGGAAGGTATTCAATGGTTGCACTTTTGGGGTATCTGACTGAGTCATAAGCTGTCTAATGGCATTAAGCAAAATTGACTGTGTTAATATGCTTCTATTTTGTAGGTGAAGCTTATGGCTTTAAAGAAAAAGAGTAACTGCTAGCATTATAAACTGGCTTAAATGGGAATGGGTTCTTTTAAAGTTTACCTTAAAGACCATGTGAAGCATCATCGCAAGGCCATTCCTGCCAGGATATTTTCCTGCTGTGTTCAGAGGGGACAGATCAAACAGGGTGGCATCTGTCTCGTGGCAGATTGCATGGACCAGCATCGTCTTGCCGACACCTTCTGGCCCTGCCAGTAAGATAGCCTTTATCAGAGGTGTTTTCTCATGTACAACCTGAGAGCCTGCAGACAAACATACATCTTACATTCAAACCACAAACAATATTTACAGTAATAATTACTTAAAACATGAATTAAATAGCTTTCTTACCTAACGGTAAAATTGCGTATAGAGATAAAACTTGTCGCACATCTGACAATGATGGCATGGGCTCAATGTCATTTTGCCTCAGTGTTGTCGCAAGGTAGTTATAGTCACCTAGAAACAGCAGGGGACAACTATGAGACCAACAGTTATTAATCTGCACTGTAAAACAGTGGGAAAACTGTAGGAAAGAACTTTAACTTCATCTGTTTTCTAACCACAAAGATTTTTGTGCCCTCATGTGATTGCTCATTGTGATCAGCCTTTTGGCAATCCAGAAGAGGGCAGCACACCATTAGACAATTTCCAGTTACCCAGATTCATACAAAGTGCTCAGTTGTGAGAGTTCTGCTGTGTGACAACACATTTATTGCAATTACATTAAAGGCTCACAAACAATTATGATACAAAGACAAAAAGAGTTCTGAAAAATGGTACACCAGTCTATGCAAATAACATACAGTGTCTTACCCAAGTAATCCTGCATCCTAACATTATTTGGCCTTTTCAACAAGCCCCGTTGAACCAGCTCTTCACACAGAGAGTCAAGAGACCTAGTAGACGTACATAAATGATGTAAATGTTTTCTCCAGCATTTGCCTTGACTAATTTAGCAACTTCATTCAACTAAGTTCTATATTAATAATCATTTACTTCATAAGTATAGGTTGTGTGTTCTCACCGGTGAGCTGTCAGATCTTTCTCCTTTTTCTTCTTCTTTCCACTCTTAGAACCTTTCTTTTTCTGTGGCGGACAATAAATATGGTACAATAAGTATGGTAGGAAACAGCTCAAGATAATCAATACAAACTGTGACCACAGTCTTTCCTTTTTTTGTACCTTGGTATTTCCTTTGGTTTTACCACCTCTGTCTTTGTCTACATCTAGCTTCCATTTGGCCAGCTCCTGTCTCATCTCCTTATCTACCTGATACAGACAGAATACATGGACTTTTAAAGGCAAAACACAAAACTGTGTAACTCCTCACATACACCACCATCATGAAGTTTCATGACCATCACCTGGGCTTGAATCTCTCTCTCAATTAGTTTCCTCTGTTCTTCCTTAATCAGCTCCACCTCGTGTCTCTGGCTGAAGTTTTTGGAATCATCCCGATTTTTCCAAAAATCTGAAGAAGACAAACATTCAGTTCAGGCCTTAAAAAACTCAATTAAAAAAAAAGCATTATTTTACTGCACACTGAGGGGTGGCAGCTGGCTAGAATACAGACAAACCTTGCTGGTGTGCCTCATACCATTCCTGTTTTGCATGTTTGTAGCTAACTGGTTTGAATGTGACACTCTATTCCTTATTTTCAGCATATAAAGATGTTGCAAGGTTGACATGAATACATTTGAAGGATTCTGTTGAAAACAAACTGTGAATCACTGCATATCTTCAGCCTTTTTTAATTTAAACATACCTTCAAAGATTTTGTTTGCCACTTCCAAGTCTGACAGAAAAGCTGAAGGCAGCATCTTCAATCCTGCCTCCTCTTCCTGTGGTTCAGAATAAAGTTATCACTAAATGTGCACTTTCTCGGGAGTGAACCAGCCAACTAGGAATAAAATCCTACTTAGTCTATGTTTTTATCAATTTTAAAAAGTGTATAAAGTTTTAAAAGACAGACTTTCATCCACTTACAAAAGATGGGAACACCAGAATTTAGCGAATGTTATATTGAGTAAATAACATTTATTGAATATAACTACGAGCCCTTACGTCTTTGTCACCTTTCCCCTTTTGTTTCTCTGCCTCCTTCCTGTTTGGTCTGTAGTTAGAATCTTCCTGTTCTTTTGCAGCAATTTCGTTCTTTAGCTGAAAAAAATCACATGTACAACAAAGAGCATTCTACTTATGCAAACTACAGAAAACATGCAATAAACCATAGTTATGAATAGGGGTGTATTTTACCTCTTGAGGGCTCTTTACTGCAAAAATGAGAGCTGAGCCTCCATTTTCTTCATCAGGGTAGTCTGGAAATGATCCAGTAGTGTCACTATTTAAATTAAAAACACAGATTAGGAAAAAGATGATGACACAACTACTTGATTCATTTCACTAAATGTGTGAATATTCCACTATTATAGCAGAAACCATACCAACCCCCTTCTGTGCCACCTTACCGGCATTCAAAGAACCACTGCCGGATTTGGTTTTTCATTGTCTCGCTTATGTCAGGACCCTCCACATCTCGTATGTAGTTTGTGACAGCCTCTACAGATTTTTGGTAATCTTCCTCATACTCCTGTTTAAGCAATGTCCAAGCCTCATTCGTGTGGGGAGTGATTTCTGCAGGGGATGGCACCTGGTATTTTGGATCCATGGCCTAAGATGCAAGTGACCAAAACAATCTGTATATGATTAAAATCTTTGTTTGTCTAAGAAAAAAACAACAATAGGAGGTACTGCAGTGAAACAAAGAAACCTAGGCACATTTTTTGTTTGTTTGTTTACAGCAATTAGCAAAAGTGCTGGACCATTTTACTCACCATACCAAGTATAATCATTTCTTCATCTCGAGCAATTTTTGTCCTCTTCCTCTCTATGTAGCCTCTCCACATCTGCAAATTCCATGCAACCAAATGCTTCAGCATGAAAGATGACACAAGCCAAAAAAAAGAGGCATGGAGAATTATGCTGCTAACAGAGGACCTTCTGAATGCAGATCACAGCCGACTCAGTGCCAACTGCTCCCGGGTCTTTGCTCATGTTCATTTTCCTGCTCGCTTTATTCAACTTTGCCCTGAGGCATCCTTGGCGGGCCCTCTCCATCACCTGAATGAACGTAACAGCCTCTTCTTGAGTCATGTCCTTGGTCATTAGAGGCTGTAGGGACCATAAACAGAACCAAAATATTTACTTGTCAGTGATTCAATAAATATAACAATTGAATGAAAATTAAAAATTGTGTTCTACTTATATGACATGTTTTTGTTTGTAACAAATGAACAACTTTAATCAGATATTTCCAAGTCATACACATAGAGGCTTTAACTAAGATGAGGCTATATTACAACTCACTTCTGGGCTTTCAGTAACCTCCACCTTTTCAAAGGTATCGCTCAAGATCTTCTTTTTTTCTTGGACGCCTTTGTCCTGTTCATGGATGAAGTAGCGAGGGATAGGGATCTCAAGGGCTGCCTAAAGTGACAACAAAGAAAATTGCTAATGAGGCTGTTGTAATAAAGAACCATTCTTGATAAAGTCAATGTCATGGATACATCAGCACAATATTATTCAAATCTAAGAAATCCAATTCAGTGTCATCTTGCTCTCAAAAATCTGAACTCACCGGAGTGAGTTTCAAGTCGAGAAGTATATCATCCATGTAGTGGTATTCTAAATACTCTTTTTCAACCATTTCATTCTTCAGCTCTAGCACCCTCCCCATCACACCGTCAAGAGTCAGCCGAATATTTCGTCTCTTCTGAGGGTGGACAACCTGGTCATAGACCTCCTCCAGCTGTCTAAAGATCTGGAGGTAGTGTACATAAAGCTTGGCCACATGCTGGAAGAACACTACCCTGTCCTTTTCAGGGCGAGAGGGCACAGCAGACTGTTCTTCAATTAGCAGACCACTCAGCTCTTCCTGGGCTTCTGCCCACAGCTTGTTGTATATCCTGTAAAAGTGTATACAGTGTGATGAATTGAGGGCCAAGCTGCAAAAATGGTACCTTAATAAATACTAGACAGGTGACAGTCAACAAGAAAGATATCACAGTTAATGATGTGTCTTTTGTAGCATTTTTAAATTTGTCTAAAATGTTATAAGTTACCACTTCTAAGAGTAACAAAATAACAGAGATGGAATCAACAAGGTCAGACGAAGCAATGACACAAGAACGGCATTATTATTTAGAAAAAAGCTGACTTTCAGATAGCCAACCTTATTTATTTTCTTAATACTGCTCTCTATCATGCTCACTTAGGTTAAGCCAACGTTTCACATTTACAAAGTGCACGTTCAAGTGTCATTACTGTAACGTTACTGATTTCAAATGCAGCGTTACTTTGAGTTACTGTACACGAGTCACCGCATGACAATACGCTTAACATTGCAAAGGTTATTTGCAAACCACCTAACATTAGCCAATCCAGCTAAAAGATAAAACTGGCAAACTAACTTCTACCTTCGGTAGCCGCTGATCATGCGGCAGTAACGTCTGTGGCTGCGGGGAACTTTACCTTTGCGACATGCCTCTGCCTCCAGAGAGAAAGAGAATGTTCCAATGTTTCTTATCAAATAACTAAAAACGTGACAGGTTGTAAACTAAGCTAATGCTAGCAACACTGTATCAAACATGAGGTCCGTTTTCACAAGTTGACATAGTACTCGGCGTGTCTCCATAGCAACAGAGTCGAGACGTGTTTTCCTTCTAGCTAATCTCGCGGTTTTTTAGCTTAATGTCTATTTTTCTACTCTGCTGCGTTTAGTGAATCGTAACATCCACAGTCTGCTGTTTAAATCACACAAATCATGTGTTGCTGGTAGGCCTGGAATAGACTCTTTGTTCGGCTACTGTCATGTTGTTAGATGGACAGCTGTTCTGATGACTTCAAACACTCAGAACACACCTACTTCTCAGTGTGCATTGAGTTGAATCATGCTTCAGTAGCGCTGACGTCTGGTTTCCAGTGTTTTCCCAGTAAGTTATAAGAGGAAACACATCTTTGATGGGGGAGCAGATTTCCACACATCACCAGAAGTAACTCACCTATCTCTAAATTTATTTTATAATCAGTGGAAATCATGGCAGAAAGTGGCAATGTGACTATGTAACCAATTGTATTTTACTCTTAGCCTATCACTTATACTTTTATGAAATCATCATCATCATTTACCGTTGGGGTTTTCCCTATCCAGGCTCCCTTTTAATACCATCCTAAATCAGTAATGCACCAGAAAATTTGCACTTCTGGTAGTAGCTAAAGTCTACTACATCTTTAAACCGCCACTATCGCTTTGCGAAACATGAGACCATCAGTGGACTTCCTTGCCTTGGGTTCATAAACGTTTAAAAGTCTATATGTAAAGATGCGTTTTTCGACAAATACAGTACTTAGACATATGGGTTTATTCATGAAGAACTATTTTGAGTAAACACAAGACACAAAAATGTGAACAAACAAGCAAAAAGGAATTTGAGTTATAGCTTTATTATTGCTCTCAAATGCTGAGTTTCAAAAAGCCCTCAAACATTATGATGGGGATTTATTTCTTCATTATGATGAAGACTGGATAAATGCATGTTGTGGTCTTGCAAGATTTCTTCAGCATCCCAGTCTTCCCCACTGAGCATGTCAGGGTTTGAAACACTCTCCAGTTTAGTCCAGGCTGAAACCTCATCCTTATATGCATTGAGTAAATGCATGTAGTCTTTCAAGATTTCTTCAGTATCCCAATCGCTGTCAGTGAACATACAAGGGATTGAAATTTCATTATGATGATGATTGGATAAATGCATGTTGTGGTCTTGCAAGATTTCTTCAGCATCCCAGTTTTCCCCACTGAGCATGTCAGGGTTTGAATCACTCTCCAATTCAGTCCAGGATGAAACCTCGTCTTTATAAGACATGAATAAGTGCATGTTGTGGTCTTGCGAGGTCTTACATTCAGCTGTGTAAATCATTTAGGTTGGTGCAGACAGTCATGCACTTATGGGCTTGCTCTAAATAAGATGTGTTGCAGTGATCTGTCAGGTGAGCCACTGTAATGAAATTGTGTTGTAGGCCTTGGCTAGGAGTGAGTCTCTGCTCACTATCGAGATGTGAAATAGGAAATCTAAAAATTCCATCTGATCTGCATATTCAAGAGCATCCCATTTGGGGTTGGCCTTTATAACACCATCCAAAGTTAGGATTATGCTGTACTTTGCAAGTGATTCCACTAAGTAATCATCATCCTTGCTGACATGATCATCCTTGCAGTCATCATCATACTGACTATCAGAATCCCCATTGGTGCTCTTAGCATGTAAATATTCACTTTTAGTCATTAGTCTCCATTGTGGCTTTCCGAGACACCCCGTTTTGACAAAATAACATGAGGTCTTTGTTCCAGCATTACGCAGGTGGTCCATTGGCTGACCTAGCACCTGGCAAATGGCTTTCATTGTCTCGTATTCGGTGTCACCATCAAAAGGGTTGGCGCCAGTGTATAGCAATGCCATGATACATCCCAGCCCCGACATATCAATGGATTCTGATATGGGAAGGCCCAGGAACACCTCTGGTGCCCTGAATGTGAGTCATGGTCATTCCAACCTTTGCTCTGCTGGCTGGGAGAGCCAAACCAAAATTTATTATAGATAGAGGTGAAGGCAGACAGCAGTGAAAGGCCTCGTCCTAAATTTATGTAGACTATTATGTTTTTACTTGCAGAATGGACATTCCACTACCGGAAAGCCTTGGATGTACTGTAACATTTATGATACTTCACATGCCGATTTTGTATGTGCACTTGCGGAACATCTGTTCTCTACATACAGATGAGATGTTTTTCTTTTTATGTTCACTTTGTTCTCTTGCTTACATTTCATGTGCCAGTAGAAAAACACATTTTGTAGCTCCCCTTCAGCTCCTCTGTGACTTCTTGCATGTTGTCTTAGTGTGTGAGCATGGCACTCAAAACAAGGGTTGTGAGGAGTCTGACCTCCATTAATGATTGGCTCATTCTCACCCCTCCGTGAAAGAAAATATATGCTGTTTTTTTAAGTAGCAGATAGTGTGAAGCAAATAGAAAGCAGAGATTGCATGTACCTTCAGTATGGCTGTAGGCAAAATACTCAAATCACTCTGCAGCAAAGAACAGCCAGTCTGAATGACAGACAACCCGAAAACATAACACCCCTGGCCGTTACTGTCACCGAGGTATAAAAAGGCATGGGTGAATAGTATAAATGTTCAATAAACATTCACAATGCAACCAGCGCGGTGTAAAGGACACACAGCTAGCTCAGCAATAGAGAGGGTGTGTGTGCATGCACTGGGGGTGGGGGGGTCAACCCACAATCACATGCCATCGTCGCCTGTGCTGTGGCATTCCAGTGCCTTGTTGGAAGTATAAAAGATGGCCGATTGATCAGCTCCTACACAGAGAGGCATCAGTCATCAACCATTCAGTGTCCACAGAGAGACAGTCATGGATGGAAGCAAAAAAGACTGAAGACGGCTATAGAGAAGTGAAGGATGAAAATACAAATAACAAGGAAGTCGAGAGATGAGGACATAAGAGAAAATAAAGGAAAAAAGTACAGAGGCACAGATGAGGTGAGCTATAGAAAGACAGCAACTGGTGGCAGGAGATTAAAAACAAGATATTGTGAAAGAAGCATAAAGATATAGAGGAGAGTGGGGAAAGGGGTAAACAGCAGAAGACTTCTACAATCTTAAAATGTTTGCAAGAAGCTGCTGATGATGGAGCCTCTTTTTCTTGGCTGACTCAACTGCATCACATTCTCTGGATGTGTGTGTGGCTGTCAGTCCTGTGAGTGAGGTGCTGAGTTAGGAAAAAATTGAACTTGATTTAACTGTGCCTGGACCTTGTGGAAATATGGAAAACGGATAACTGCCATCATTTTGAAAGTGTTTAAAGAGATGTATGTACATGAAATATTGAAATAAGATTTACAGTTTGTTCCACATTTGTATTTCTTTTGCTCTTTAGGCACAGACACATTCTTGTTTTTGTCACTTACTGGGCCCCAAATTAATGGGCGGATCGGTGCAGCTTCTGCAGTAATGCAGTCGATGTACCGGTCCGTCGTGGTGAAGAAGGAGCTGAGCTGTAAGGCGAAGCTCTTGATTTACTGGTCAATCTACGTTCCGACTCTCACCTATGGTCATGAACTTTGGGTCATGACCGAAAGGGCAAGATCCCGAATACAGGCGGCCAAAATGAGCTTTCTCCGCAGGGCGGCCGGGCGCACCCTTAGAGATAGGGTGAGGAGCTCGGTCACCCGGGAGGAGCTCAGAGTAGAACCGCTGCTCCTCCACATCGAGAGGAGCCAGCTGAGGTGGCTCGGACATCTGTTTTGGATGCCTCCTGGGCGCCTTCCTAGGGAGGTGTTCCGGGCATGTCCCCCCGGGAGGAGGCCCCGGGGAAGACCCAGGACACGCTGGAGGGACTATGTCTCTCGGCTGGCCTGGGAACGCCCCGGCATTCCCCCGGAGGAGCTGGAGGAAGTGTCTGGAGAGAGGGAAGTCTGGGCATCTTTGCTTAGACTGCTGCCACCGCGACCCGGTCCCGGATAAGCGGAAGAAAATGGATGGATGGAAGGATGGATGAATGGGCCCCAAATCACTACTTGCCTAATCCTTATACCTGGCACCTTACCCAACCTCAGCCAAAGATGACACTTGCTCCAGCTTTACACAGTGTTGTTTTCATAAAATTGGACAAACTATTTTGTGGGGACCAGCCTCAATTGCTCACAAGTGACAGAGTCCCTGTGAATCTAGTGCGCTCACGGTTTTCTGTCCCCACAAGTATAGAAATGGAAAATCAAGGCCACGCACACCCTTGTTTTTGTCATTTATGGGGTCCCTATATAGACTTACATTCATTTCCATGTCACTTTCCCTAACCTTAACCAGAACTTCTACTTGCCTAACCTTAACCCTTATCCTAACACTTAACCAAAGCCTACACTTGCTTTAACCTTGCACCCCATTGTTTTCATAAATTTGACTAACTACGTTGTGGGGACCAGTGTCCAGTGTCCACAAGTGACTTCCGGTCCCCACAAAGATAGTAACTCATGGATTTTGGACTGCAAAAGCATTGAAAAATATTGCTCTCAAATCCTGAGCTGCAAGCTGAGTGGTGCTCAAAATGTGGTTAAAGAGCCCTCAAACGTTAGGGTGGGGATCTATTTCCACACATCTTTGGACTGTGGGAGGAAGCCCAGAGAGAAACCACGCAGGTACAGGGAGAACGAACAATCTCCGCACAGAGAGGCACCGGGGCCACCAGGGCTCAGACCCAGAACCTTCTTGCTGCGAGGCGACAGTGCTAACCACCATTCCAACATGCCGCCCTCTTTTAAATGTGCTATATAAATAGACTGAATTGAATTGAATATATTCATAGATTCATCTAAACAGTAAATATGCATGTTATATAAAGTAACGACATGCAAAGTGCAAATGCAGTGCGGTAAGATGCAGTGCCAGACTCCATTTTAGCAGATATAAAGGGAGACGTAGCCGAATAAATGAGGACCATAGACGACAGATGAACCAATCTGCAAACTTCACACATTCATTCATTAATGCAGTTACATTATTCTGTAACTATTGTCTTTATAGGAGTGACTTACAATTCAGACATCTGAGCCAGTAGCCCAACTTTTTAGACTTCCCTTCACTGCATTTAGATTTCAACAGGATACCTGGTGGATACTGGACAAGTGGTGGATAACAGCAGAGCGACTGATCTTGGAGGCGCACCCAGCGCTATAGGCGGTCACAAGACTTGAACATCGGTGAACAAATATATCGACACACTAGCAGGTCAGTCAGAAGCCTACAGGCCCATGAAATATCTTATTCGCAGCATCCAACGTCCAACAAGTTGCCCCATATGGAAAATTACTTTCGTGCC